TGGTGGTTGTGGCTGGGGGTTATGGCTGGTGGTTGTGACTGGTGGTTGTGGCTGGTGGTTGTGGCTGGTGGCTGTGGCTGGTGGCTGTGGCTGGTGGTTGTGGCTGGTGGTTGTGGCTGGGGGTTGTGGCTGGCGGTTATGGCTGGTGGTTGTGGCTGGGGGTTGTGGCTGGTGGTTGTGGCTGGGGGTTGTGGCTGGTGGTTGTGGCTGGGGGTTGTGGCTGGGGGTTATGGCTGGTGGTTGTGGCTGGTGGTTGTGGCTGGTGGTTGTGGCTGGTGGCTGTGGCTGGTGGCTGTGGCTGGTGGTTGTGGCTGGTGGTTGTGGCTGGGGGTTGTGGCTGGTGGTTGTGGCTGGGGGTTTTGGCTGGTGGTTGTGGCTGGTGGTTGTGGCTGGTGGTTGTGGCTGGTGGCTGTGGCTGGTGGCTGTGGCTGGTGGTTGTGGCTGGTGGTTGTGGCTGGGGGTTGTGGCTGGGGGTTATGGCTGGAGGATGTGGCTGGGGGTTGTGGCTGGTGGTTGTGGCTGGGGGCTGTGGCTGGTGGTTTTGGCTGGGGGTTGTGGCTGGGGGTTATGGCTGGTAGTTGTGGCTGGTGGTTGTGGCTGGTGGTTGTGGCTGGTGGCTGTGGCTGGTGGCTGTGGCTGGTGGTTGTGGCTGGTGGTTGTGGCTGGTAGTTGAGGCTGGTGGTTGTAGCTGGTGGTTGTGGCTGATAGTTGTGGCTGATAGTTGTGGCTGGGGGTTGTGGCTGGTGGTTGTGGCTGGTAGTTGAGGCTGGTGGTTGAAGCTGGTGGTTGTGGCTGATAGTTGTGACTGATATTTGTGGCTGGGGGTTGTGGCTGGTGGTTGTGGCTGGTGGTTGTGGCTGGTAGTTGTAGCTGGTAGTTGAGGATGGTGGTTGTAGCTGGTGGTTGTGGCTGATAGTTGTGGCTGATAGTTGTGGCTGGTGGTTGTGGCTGGTGGTTGTGGCTGGTGGTTGTGGCTGGTGGTTGTGGCTGATGGTTGTAGTTGGTGGTTATGGCTGATAGTTGTGGCTGGGGGTTGTGGCTGGGGGTGGTGGCTGGTAGTTGTGGCTGATAGTTGTGGCTGAGGGTTGTGGCTAGTGGTTGTGGCTGATACTAGTGGCTAGTGGTTGTGGTTGTGGGTTGTGGCTAGTAGTTTTGGCTGGTGGTTGTGGCTGGTAGTTGTGGCTGGTGGTTGTGGCTGGTGGTTGTGGCTGGTGGTTGTGGCTGGTGGTTGTGGCTGGTGGTTGTGACTGGTGGTTGTGGCTGGTGGTTGTGGCTGGTGGTTGTGGCTGTTGGTTGTGGCTGGTGGTTGTGGCTGGTAGTTGTGGCTGGTGGTTGTGGCTGGGGGTTGTGGCTGGTGGTTGTGGCTGGGGGTTGTGGCTGGTGGCTGTAGCTGGTGGTTGTGGCTGGTAGTTTTGACTGGTGGTTGTGGCTGGTGGTTGTGGCTGGAAGTTGTGGCTGGTGGTTGTGGCTGGTGGTTGTGGCTGGTGGTTGTGGCTGGTGGTTGTGACTGGTGGTTGTGGCTGGTGGTTGTGGCTGGTGGTTGTGGCTGGTAGTTGTGGCTGGTGGTTGTGGCTGGGGGTTGTGGCTGGTGGTTGTGGCTGGGGGTTGTGGCTGGTGGCTGTAGCTGGTGGTTGTGGCTGGTAGTTTTGACTGGTGGTTGTGGCTGTTGGTTGTGGCTGGTGGTTGTGGCTGGTAGTTGTGGCTGGTGGTTGTGGCTGGGGGTTGTGGCTGGTGGTTGTGGCTGGGGGTTGTGGCTGGTGGCTGTAGCTGGTGGTTGTGGCTGGTAGTTTTGACTGGTGGTTGTGGCTGTTGGTTGTGGCTGCTGGTTGTGGCTGGTGGTTGTGACTGGTGGTTGTGGCTGGTAGTTTTGACTGGTGGTTGTGGCTGGTGGTTGTGGCTGGTGGTTGTGGCTGGTGGTTGTGGCTGGTGGTTGTGGCTGGTGGTTGTGGCTGTGGGTTGTGGCTGGTGGTTGTGACTGGTGGTTGTGGCTGGTAGTTTTGACTGGTGGTTGTGGCTGGTGGTTGTGGCTGGTGGTTGTGGCTGGGGGTTGTGGCTGGTGGTTGTGGCTGGTGGTTGTGGCTGGGGGTTGTGGCTGGTGGTTGTGGCTGGTGGTTGTGGCTGGTGGTTGTGGCAGGTGGTTGTGGCTGTGGGTTGTGTCTGGTGGTTGTGGCTGGTGGTTGTAGCTGGTAGTTGTGGCTAGTGGTTGTGGCTGGTGGTTGTGGTTGTGGGTTGTGGCTAGTAGTTTTGGCTGGTGGTTGTGGCTGGGGGTTATGGCTGGGGGTTGTGGCTGGTGGTTATGGCTGGTGGTTGTGGCTGGTGGTTGTGGCTGGTGGCTGTGGCTGGCGGTTGTGGCTGGGGGTTATGGCTGGTGGTTGTGGCTGGGGGTTATGGCTGGTGGTTGTGGCTGGTGGTTGTGGCTGGTGGTTGTGGCTGGTGGCTGTGGCTGGTGGCTGTGGCTGGTGGTTGTGGCTGGGGGTTGTGGCTGGGGGTTATGGCTGGTGGTTGTGGCTGGGGGTTGTGGCTGGTGGTTGTGGCTGGGGGTTGTGGCTGGTGGTTGTGGCTGGGGGTTGTGGCTGGGGGTTATGGCTGGTGGTTGTGGCTGGTGGTTGTGGCTGGTTGTTATAGCTGGTAGCTGTGGCTGGTGGCTGTGGCTGGTGGTTGTGGCTGGTGGTTGTGGCTGGGGGTTGTGGCTGGTGGTTGTGGCTGGGGGTTATGGCTGGTGGTTGTGGCTGGTGGTTGTGGCTGGTGGTTGTGGCTGGGGGTTGTGGCTGGGGGTTATGGCTAGTGGTTGTGGCTCGGGGTTGTGGCTGGTGGTTGTGGCTGGGGGTTGTGGCTGGGGGTTATGGCTGGTGGTTGTGGCTGGTGGTTGTGGCTGGTGGTTGTGGCTGGTGGCTGTGGCTGGTGGCTGTAGCTGGTGGTTGTGGCTGGTGGTTGTGGCTGGGGGTTGTGGCTGGTGGTTGTGGCTGGGGTTTGTGGCTGGTGGTTGTGGCTGGGGGTTGTGGCTGGGGGTTATGGCTGGTGGTTGTGGCTGGTGGTTGTGGCTGGTGGTTGTGGCTGGTGGCTGTGGCTGGTGGCTGTGGCTGGTGGTTGTGGTTGTGGCTGGTGGCTGTGGCTGGTGGCTGTGGCTGGTGGTTGTGGCTGGTAGGTGTGGCTTGGGGTTGTGGCTGGTGGTTGTGGCTGGGGGTTGTGGCTGGTGGTTGTGGCTGGGGGTTGTGGCTGGGGGTTATGGCTGGTGGTTGTGGCTGGTGGTTGTGGCTGGTGGTTGTGGCTGGTGGCTGTGGCTGGTGGCTGTGACTGGTGGTTGTGGCTGGGGTTTGTGGCTGGTTGCTGTAGCTGGTGGTTGTGGCTGGTAGTTTTGACTGGTGGTTGTGGCTGTTGGTTGTGGCTGCTGGTTGTGGCTGGTGGTTGTGACTGTTGGTTGTGGCTGGTAGTTTTGACTGGTGGTTGTGGCTGGTGGTTGTGGCTGGTGGTTGTGGCTGGTGGTTGTGGCTGGTGGTTGTGGCTGGGGGTTGTGGCTGGTGGTTGTGGCTGGTGGTTGTTGCTGGGGGTTGTGGCTGGTGGTTGTGGCTGGTGGTTGTGGCTGGTGGTTGTGGCTGGTGGTTGTGGCTGGTGGTTGTGGCTGGGGGTTGTGGCTGGTGGTTGTGGCTGGTGGTTGTGGCTGGAGGTTGTAGCTGGTAGTTGTGGCTAGTGGTTGTGGCTGGTGGTTGTGGTTGTGGGTTGTGGCTAGTAGTTTTGGCTGGTGGTTGTGGCTGGGGGTTATGACTGGGGGTTGTGGCTGGTGGTTGTGGCTGGTGGTTGTGGCTGGTGGTTGTGGCTGGTGGCTGTGGCTGGTGGTTGTGGCTGGGGATTATGGCTGGTGGTTGTGGCTGGTGGTTGTGGCTGGTGGTTGTGGCTGGTGGTTTTGGCTGGTGGCTGTGGCTGATGGCTGTGGCTGGTGGTTGTGGCTGGTGGTTGTGGCTGGGGGTTGTGGCTGGGGGTTATGGCTGGTGGTTGTGGCTGGGGGTTGTGGCTGGTGGTTGTGGCTGGGGGTTGTGGCTGGTGGTTGTGGCTGGGGGTTGTGGCTGGGGGTTATGGCTGGTGGTTGTGGCTGGTGGTTGTGGCTGGTGGTTGTGGCTGGTGGCTGTGGCTGGTGGCTGTGGCTGGTGGTTGTGGCTGGTGGTTGTGGCTGGGGGTTGTGGCTGGGGGTTATGGCTGGTGGTTGTGGCTGGTGGTTGTGGCTGGTGGTTGTGGCTGGTGGCTGTGGCTGGTGGCTGTGGCTGGTGGTTGTGGCTGGGGGTTGTGGCTGGGGGTTATGGCTAGTGGTTGTGGCTCGGGGTTGTGGCTGGTGGTTGTGGCTGGGGGTTGTGGCTGGGGGTTGTGGCTGGTAGTTGTGGCTGGTGGTTGTGCCTGGTGGTTGTAGCTGGGGGTTGTGGCTGGTGGTTGTGGCTGGGGGTTGTGGCTGGTGGTTGTGGCTGGTGGTTGTGGCTGGTAGTTGTGGCTGGTGGTTGTGGCTGGTGGTTGTAGCTGGGGGTTGTGGCTGGTGGTTGTGGCTGTCGGTTGTGGCTGGTGGTTGTGGCTGGTGGTTGTGGCTGTGGGTTTTGGCTGGTAGTTGTGGCTGGTTGCTGTGGCTGGTGGTTGTGGCTGGTGGTTGTGGCTGGTAGTTGTGGCTGGTGGTTGTGGCTGGTAAATATGGCTGTGGGGTGGGGCTGTGGGTTTCCCTGGTCTCCCGCCTGTCACGCGGGAGACCCGGGTTCAGTTCCCCGCTGGAGAGCCACAAATTTTGTGTGGGAAAACTTGACTCATGTAAATCAATTAAATTAATACTATTTTCGATAGCTTACGAAGGACCACCACTTTTTAAGAAAAAGTGGAAAACAGGGAAGAGCAAGTGGTTTGATATTTTACTCCATGAACAAGTGTCCTATGGATGTTTTATACGTCCAGAACCTGTGCCACTCTCTGCCCTGTGTAGCAGTGTTTATTCGTTCCTGTCTCTTTACAACGCATTATTACTTGCAAACATGGATCGTGGTAAAGGACAGAGCACCTCTACCCCCAAGAAGGATAGTGAAATGACCAAGGAAGATAAGTTGAGTGAGCTGTACAAAAGGTTCAGCAATGTGAAGCTTACCCCTAGTAAAATTCCTGATTTGTTGGATCGTTTGTCAGATGTGGAGGCAGATGCTGAAGGGGAAGAGCGTCAGAGTGATTTCAGTAGTGATAATGAGGGGACAGCGTCGTCTGATGAGTTTGATTCATCATCGAGTGAGGAGAGTAGCGAGGGGATTGAGGATGAGGCAGCGGATGTGGGCCGCCCCAAGGCACCTGTAAGGAGGCGTGTAGGACGTCTTCAACAGCCTAATCCCGATGCTGCCTGGTCAACTGATAATACACCACCTATTGTAGGCAGTTTCAGTGCCACACCAGGCATAACTGTCCCAGTGCCAATTACCCCCCTGCAATTTGTTCAATTATTTCTGACCCGTGCCCTAATTGAGTTCATCACAGTGGAAACTAACAGGTATGCCAGGCAGTTTATTCAGAATGCTTCCAGGCGCACTATGAGGTTGTGGAAGGAGGTATCTGCGAAGGAAATGGCAAGGTATTTGGCTTTATCAATCTTGATGGGTATTGCACGACTCCCAACAATGCGCATGCACTGGCAAACAAGCCGGTTGTGGCATATGAGGACCTTCAATGTGTTCATGACTGCAAAACGATTCCAACATATTGCCCAGTTTTTTCATACTTATAACCAGTTTGCAATTCCACCCAACAACAAGAACCGCATGATAAAACTCAGCACCATTACCTATTTGACCAACAAATTTGGCTCTTACTACGTCCCCAATCAAGCACTCAGTTTGGATGAAGGTACAATGTCGTGGCGTGGTCGTCTATCCTTCAAGGTTTACAACCCCAATAAGCCTGATAAGTATGGGGTAAGGTTGTACATGCTTGCTGAGGCAGGGACTGGTTATATTATTGATTTCGAGGTTTATTCTGGAGTGGGCAAGACAACAGTTGAGACAGTGATGGGCCTTATGCGACCCTTGTTGAACAAAGGTTATCATCTTTATATGGACAATTATTATAACTCTGTCCATCTCACAGAATTGCTAAGGGAAAATGGTGTGTACACTTGTGGAACACTCAGATTGCAGCGTGGTGCCCCTAAAGAGCTGCAACAACTTGCCAAAGGTAAATTCGCTGTTGATCAGACTATTTTCAGGCGCAATGATAACACTTTTGTTATCCTTTGGAAAGACAAGAGAGTGGTGTCAGTGATCACAAACTGCCATAATGCTGACACACAGGAAGTACAGAGAAGGAAGAGAGTGAAGAAACGGGACGGAACATCATCTGTTCAGATTGTAACTGTAAACAAACCAACAGCCATTTGCGACTACAACAACAACATGAAGGGAGTTGATCACTTCGACCAAATGGTCAAATATTACAGGTTCACCAGGAAGTCGCATAAGTGGACTAAGAAGATCACATTTTACTTCCTTCAGATGGCTATACACAATGCCTATGTGTTGTACAAGATGTACACAACTGATGCCAAGAAACTGACCCTACTCCAGTTTCATGAAGTAGCAATATGGGTCAATAGCAAGTCTACATAGTGCATCTTATTGCGAGTATTTTGACACCAAAATGAACAATGTAGCACAAAAACTTCCATTGGAACAATATTTTTGTTTGTCGGGTGTATTGGGTGTAGCGGGTGTGGAAACGGGTGTTTGAGCGGGTGAGGCATCGACGTGATTGGGGGTGAGGCGCGCACATGTAACCCACTTTTATGCATATGTCTGTGTAGGCAATTTTATTGCGATCACCGTGATACCAAACAAAACCATATGCAACAAGTTTTGACTTGATAAACACAGAGTAGCAACATATAGGGAGAGTTTAGCGGAGTTTAGCGTGAGCGCGAAACAAAGCACGCAGTTCTTTGGTTGCTGGTCGCGTAATGTTAGCTTTGGTGAAATGTTATACATAAGTTCGTATAGAACATTTCATTAGCTACACAGTGATACCAAAAAAAACACGTACATCGAAAATGAGGGTCACAGACATGAGGAGAGTATAAACTTTTCAGTTGTGGTTGAGCGCATGTGCAGCTGGGCGTGCTGGAGCGGGTAACCCTAAGCCAACTTCCCACATTCCTGTGGGTGGGGCGACACCATTATTTATTGTGTATATTTATATGTCCGTGTAGGGAATTTTATTGCGGTCACAATGATACCAAAATAAACCACGAATAACAATTCTGGGGTTCGCAAACATAAAAACATCGTAAACATTGATGCCCGGTTTTACGCTCACGGCTAACGAACGCCACAGTTTGTTATTTGGTGTGGTTCTCATGTAGTCTTTGGTGACATTTTATATATATATTCCTCTAGAGCATTCTCTCGCGAACACAATGATACCAAATTTAAATACATACCGCCAAAATTAAGCTCCCCACCCCGAAAAGATTATAAACATTTTAGTGCTGACGCGCAGTAGGCCGACACGAACGGCCCACTTAGGGCTTACAGTCAGCCAATTCCCAGGGAGCGCGAAAGTGTTAATATTACATTGAATATTAAAGGGGACTATTATGAATCATATCTTCTCACCCCAAATGGTGGGATACATGCGAAAAAATTAATATATCTCAAGCATGATTTCAGTGCTGGTTCATCACTGAAGTGATTAAATGAAAATAAATGTTGAATGGATTATAATAATAATTAGAGGCATATGTACCTCAAGATACTACAATAATAAAAACTAATAAATTACTAAAGCAATGGGTTAGTAATGTTGATCTCATTAGATCATATAAGTATCTATTTGTTAGTTGGTATCTACAATAACGTTGACAGCTTAGTTGTAAATTGAGAGAGAGATGCGAAATCGGTTGCCACACTCCACTGACGACGTATTGCGTGCGACAAATTGTTGCACGTGAAGGTGGGAAAGCCTAGCACCTCGCTTGACGACGACCCGGGGGCGGGAAGGCAATAACATGGTAGAGATTTCCTACGTATCTAATTATAAACATGTCTTATCATAAGGAATTCTTCCTAATAAATTATTGGATATATCTGTCACTGTAGAATTCTTCTACATATATTAAGACAACATACATTCAATACAAATTATGGAACACGGTTAGAGAATACACGTACTGCATTTTTATGTTAATTTCTCAGCCTAACGACAACTATCTAAATGTAATATGTGCATACAGTAATGCAAATAGAATACTTAGATGCTGGGCCATGTGTTCGTTGATTAAGGAACGATTCCAGGTACCTCTTCCTCAGCTGCCGTGCTAAAATTCATGTTTCAGCCTGTCGTTCCTCACGGCATCACTCTGATTAGGAAGAATCTGACAAATATGGCATTACAATGGAAACATTAATTTTGGATTAATGCTACATATTAGCAGAATTAGTAAATACTATGGATTAATACAGTAATGATGTATTATAACACAAGAAATCATGTATTTGTGTTGGAAAGTTTCCAACAGTGGCAGACCAATATGGTAGTCATGGTCTGGTATGTTGTAAATAACAGGGTAAGAATGCAAGACATGAAGAAGTCAACGACACCTTTAGGAGGAGTCTAGCCACAGCCTGCTGCTCAGCACAAAGAGAACCACATCTATTCAGACCCAACGAACCTCAGAAGCGCCCAGACGGGGGGACACCTTGCTTTCTTGGAAGGATGGTAAGCAAATGGTTTGGGACTACACATGCGCTTCCAGACTGGCCAGTACCTACCTCCAACAGAGTACAAGTGACAGGGGTAGCACTGCTTCTTTCAGGGAAAGTGCAGAAAACCAAATAAAGAGATCTGGCACACTGCTTCAGCTTTGTTCCGATCGGTTCGGAGACCCTCAGTTCGTGGGGAAATGTGCATTTAAGTTCCTGAAGGAATTAGGTGACAAATTGATCGGCGTTACAAAAGACCAAAGAGCGATAAGCTTCTTGTTCCAGAGCCTCAATGTCGCGATTCAGAGGGGAAATGCTTATTGCATCTTGGGCACGAAACCAACTTTAGAGGAATTCGAAGAGGTGTTTGACTTGCAACAATGATCGAATCTGTCTGTGACATTTATTAAGTTATCCCGTTGGTGGGTTCTTCATTTTATCTGTATTGGTTGTGTTGTGTACGTGTCAAGGCCATACTTTGTGATCATATAATTTTGTACAATAAAGTTCCCCTTTATATTTTGTGTATATGGCCTACAAATTTAAATTCAGACGAATTTGTAGCTAAACTTAACGATCAAGTCCCCTCTATAAAATTTACTATAGAGACTGAAATTGATATATGTTTGGCATTTTTAGATATACTTATTCATAGAGAAGATTTTTCACTAAAGATTAGTGTCTTCAGAAAACCTATGAACCTATTTAATGTTCGTTATTTCTCAGGGCATAGATACAATGTAAAACAATAAATTTTTTTTCTGTGTATCTAAGGGCTCGTTGGGTTGTTAGTCCAGAATTCTTGAATGAAGAGTTTAAGAATATTGATTCTATTGGTTTCAAGGCTTGTTATCCTCAGACTTTTTGGAAGTGTGCCGTAATTTGCACGACATACATATTGTAATAATATATGCAGTGAGAAAATTCGCCAAAAATAATTATGTTTACCATGTTTTTCTGGGTTCGAAAATATTGTCAAGGCCTTGAAACATTTTGATATACATGTGTTTTTAATTACGAAAATAATGTTGAAAAACTAGTTAGAAGCACTCGTAGTGATAATTGTGTCATTTTCAAAATATCTTATAAAGACAGTAATAGGTTTTATGTAGGGCAAACATCCAAAGATTTAAAATTTAAAATTTCACATGTAAGATATGACCAATTGTCTAATGCTTTGTTTGTTCATTTGTCAGAAAGTTCTCACCAAATGGGTTGCTTGAGGGGTTTCTTCAGTACCGAATTGTAAACGCATTTTAATAAGAATAATATTGAATCGGCTTTAATACAGACTACAAAAACATGTAATTTGAATCTTAATAGTGGTTTGTATAATATTGATACATTTTCGATTGATCAGTTAAAAAGTGATATGAGTAGATTCATTGATACACATTTTATCTCACTAATACCTTATTAATATCCCATTAAGAATATAGTACATCACCTCGTCTCTTTCCTGTGTATATATCCACATACGGTGAACTGTAAATCCATCTTTCTGAAGATGTATTATTATATACGAAAGTACTTCAATAAAGTCTTAATCCTTCCTTCGTGAGCTGACACTGTCATATTGTTCATCAGTGTTAATTTCTTAGTGATTTGCTAACACACACATTATATATATATACTATATATATATATATATATATATATATATATATATATATATATATATATATATATATATATATATATATATATATATATATATATATATATATATATATATATATATATATATATATATATGTCGTACCTAGTAGCCAGAACGCACTTCTCAGCCTACTATGCAAGGCCCGATTTGCCTAATAAGCCAAGTTTTCATGAATTATTTATTTTTCGACTACCTAACCTACCAAACCTAACCTAACTTTTTCGGCTACCTAACCTAACCTAACCTATAAAGATAGGTTAGGTTAGGTTAGGTAGGGTTGGGTAGGTTCGGTCATATATCTACGTTAATTTTAACTCCAATAAAAAAAATTGACCTCATATATAATGAAATGGGTAGCTTTATCATTTCATAAGAAAAAAAATTGAGAAAATATATTAATTCAGGAAAACTTGGCTTATTAGGCAAATCAGGCCTTGCATAGTAGGCTGAGAAGTGCATTCTGGCTACTAGGTACGACATATATATATATATATATATATATATATATATATATATATATATATATATATATATATATATATATATATATATATATATATATATATATATATATATATATATATATATATATGAGTATATATATATATCTGTATCGTCTCTGTATACAGAGACGAGAGCACCCCCAAATTAGACATACCTGAGCCACACTTGAAAAGTCTTCTCGAAGCATGTACAAAGGAAGCCCCTTTCATCAGTCCACAAGGAGACATGTATTTACAAATAGACGGAGTAGCAATGGGCTCCCCCTTAGGAGTTTTATTTGCTAATTTTTATATGGGAACCATCGAAGATAGGGTCTTCAGTAGCAGACAAAAACCAACTGTATACTGCCGTTATGTAGATGACATATTCGTAATAGTAAAAGACTCAGATGAACTAATTGACCTAAAAAGACACCTAGAGAGAGAGTCAGTACTCCGATTTACACATGAAAATAGTGAAAATAACAGTCTGCCATTCTTGGATGTACTAATAACAAAAACAGGAACCTCTTTAAGCACCAACGTATATACCAAGCCCACCAACATAGGATTATGCCTGAACGGTAGAAGTGAGTGCCCCCAAAGATACAAAGCCAGTGTTCTCAATGCTTATATTCGTCGAGCGCTTACCCACTGCTCTGAATGGAGCAACGTGAGTAGAGAGTTTGAAAGAGTAACTCAGGTATTGTTGAACAACGGATATAGCAACGCGGAAATAAACGCTGCTATAAGAAGACACTTGGACCGTT